AATGGATAACAGATCTAATGGATAACAGATCTAATGGATAACAGATCTAAAGTTAATAAAACTGTATTGTTTTGGGAAGTTTTATTAAATACAATCTAGCTGCACTATCCCCTTTTTTACATTTTTTTAAGAGACAGAGTCTTCCTGAGTTACTTAGGACCTTGCCAAATTGCTGAGGCTGGCTTTGAACTTCTGATGTTTCTGCCTCAGCTTCCTGAGCCCCTGCACCACTGCACCCAGCAGTAAGCCATTTCTAAGGTGGAATTGATGGCATTTGATGGCCAATTAGATGGGAATGTAGTGGTAAGGGGGAAGAACACTCTTGGTTGGGATCATCATGGGAAGGCATTTTGGGGAGTGGGAAATAATAGCCATAAATTTTGATAGGGTTACATTTGAAGGATGGAAGGGGTTTCCAAGGAGAGATAACCAGTAGAAAATTATAAGTCAATGTTTGTGTTTGAGAAATCTGAGTCTATAAGCTGGAAAACAGGATGTTATAGAACACATGATTCCTACAGAGTCATCAGGCAGAAACATCAGGAAGGACTGCCAGAAACTTGCAGCTCTGGGGTTTATTAGTAAAGATGTCCAGCTAAATCCATCTGCTTATTTATTTATTTATTTTTGGTACTGATGATTTAACTCAGGGATGCTTTACCACTGAGCCTCATCCCCAGCCCTTTTTATATTTTTATTTTTAAACAGGGTCTTGCTCAGTTGCTTCGGGCCTCATTAAGTTGCTGAGGCTCTCCTGGAATTGTGATTCTCCTATCTCAGCTTCCTGAGTTGCTTTGAGGTCAGAGGAGGTTCAAACCCAAGCCTGGTCAGTGATTAGGTGATAACAATTCATAAGAGACTTTACTAGTCAAAACCTGACCTTCCTTTTTAAGCTTTAGGCAAGGATAACATGACAAGGAGAGCCTTAGTGTTGCTATGAAGAGGCAAACAGCATAGTGGTCAAGAACATGAGCCCTGAAAACAGACCATCCTGGGTTTGAATTCTGCCAGTGTCATTAATTAGCTGTGTAACCTTGGCTAAGTGTCTGAATCTCTCTTGGCCTGTTTCCTTATGTGTTAAAGAACTGTGTGCCCTTGGCACAAATCATGTAGGATTATTGTGAGGATTTAATAAATTGATTCACATGAAGCACCTAGAACAAGGGGGATCATGGGAAAGGGCTCAATATATGTTGGCTGCTACTTCATGCAAAACCATTTAACATAATTAGCAAGTAGTATATAAAAATTTCTCAAAAGGATGACCACTATTATTAGTTATAGTTGTTGGTAAGGCTAATACACGGTTAGCTTTGAAAGTATGAAATTTTATATGTGGAAATCCTAAGAAAATAAACCAAAAGGTGTGATTTGTTTGAAAGGTATGATTTATGTAAAATGGTATATCCTGCTGATACGCCATTTTCCCTTTGGGTGATAATGAATTTACATTGTGCCCTCTTCAGTGGGAGTCTTATAATCTCAAGCAAACATTTGGAGAATTGCTGGATGAGGTTAGAATAATTGTCCATTCTCAATAATTCAGAAAACTTTCCCTTCCTATAAAATAGGAGAATCTTGTGACTCTACACTCAATAAATCCCACAGCGATTAATGCTTATGGTGAAATTGTACCTGCTTCCCTCTGTGTGCTTGAAAATGTGAACAATCATTTCATCTCCTCAACAAGAAAGCCCAAGCAACTTCATGCCCATATTGGAAAATGTTGTATGATTAAAATTCAGATTCAGATTTGCACCCACTGTACTACACACTACTTTCATTTGTTCCAAAGGCAGTATTTAACACAAATGAGTGTTTAAGTGTTTTTACCACCTGGATTCCAAGACACCTATGTGTCAGACTTTCTAGACTTTAATTTTAACTTGTGAACTGGGAATGCCATCACTCTTTGAAACTGAGAAAGATTTTTTTTTTTTTGAGAGAGAGAGGGAGAGAGAATTTTTTTTTAATATATATTTTTTAGTTTTCGGCAGACACAACATCTTTGTTTGTATGTGGTGCTGAGGATCGAACCCCGGCTGCACGCATGCCAGGCGAGCGCGCTACCGCTTGAGCCACATCCCCAGCCCCTGAGAAAGATTTTTCAAGTAGAAAATGGAGGTGGAGAGCAGCTGGCATTGGGACAACTGCTGGCATGATAAGAAAATCCAAGGTACATGTTTAAAGTCTGCCGTTGCTGTGACAATTTTTTCCCTAAAAGCTCAAGATGATACAATTATTCATAAAATAATTTTAATAATTATGAAGAGAGTCTGCCTTGTGTATTTTGTAAATCATTATGAGAGTATGTTTCAGTAGGGTTTATGAATCCACAACTGTGCCCTTTTCAAACTAGTGATATGCCTTAATCAAACAATTGCCTCCTTAGAACCTCAGGAACAATGTCAATCACCATTGATTTTGAAGAAGGTAAGCTTTTACGTGGGTGTTGTGGACTTTTCTGTTGAACCACCCTGAGCAGTCACAGTTTTCTGCCATAAGAAATCTAGAAATTGTTCAACCGGAGAGTCAACATTAATTTTTCGCTATTTCTCAAAAAGTCAGAAATCAATCAATAGTTTTCCATAAGTAAGACAATTACAACTTGCTTAATGATTCTCACCTCCATTAATGTTCCTGGTTGTTAATAAATCCTATCCCTCAGTCTATGTGCCGGTCACCTGCCAGTATCGAGATGGAGTGTTAGCTCAGCTCTTCACAATGCTTTGTTGGAGGTAAAGAATCTACTCAGAGCCCACTACCATGCATGTTGTTAAATAATGCTTCTTTGTTGTCTATTTTTAAGTATTACAATTTTTGAATTATGGAATGAAAATAAAAATGTCATTTCTTACTCTGCTTTTTAAAGATTTACTTTTTTAGCTGTAGGTGGACACAATATCTTTATTTCATTTTTATGTGGTGCTGAGGCTCAAACCCAGTGTCTCACGCATGCTAGATGAGTGCTCTACCTCTGAGCCACAACCTCAGCTCTCTTACTCTGTTCTTTATTGCTTGTTTTCTCTGAGTTGATTCAGTGACCAGGGTTACGATTCCCAGTACTTCACTCTTTCTGCAGAGAGATGAAATACAATTCCAAGAACAAGCTGAAGGTGCAAGTCAAGAACTACAGAAATTCTTACCAGCTTCCAAATGTCCAAGACCACACTTGAAAAACAACTTGCTGTCCTAGCAAAGGAAGAATGATTCTATTGTAACTGTCTATTCTATTGTAATCTTACCAGGACTGGGCAGGAAGAAGAGCATGGGTGGCCCTCTTGCTTCAGAAGACTGTAAATGGGCTAAAACTCTCAGTATAAATTATCTGAAAGGTTATTTTCTCAACCATTTTCTTTGACAGGCAAGGACATTAAAGCCAAGAAAGGGCAAGTGGTTGAAGAAGGTTATACAGCTCACCGGTGACTGCTCCAAGACTTCTGAATTTTCACTACAGCTCTCTTTCTTTACTTCACACCTTCACATACCATAGAGGACCTCATATTTGTGAAACACTAAAAATACCGCAGTAGTGATACAGGCTGAATATTAGTGTTCCCACCAAATTTATACTTTGAAGACTAATAAGAGAGTAATTGGACATGGGCCTTTCAAAGATAATGAGGTCATGAGGGCAGGCCCTCATGAATGGGATGAATTCCCCATGTAGCTAACTTGCAGCTTCTACCTTGTGAGGTTATACCAAGGAGGAACCACCTATTAGTCAGGAAGCAGGCCCTCACCAGACATAGGATCAACAGGTGCCTTGACTTTGGACTTCCCAGCCTCTAGAATTGTGAGAAAGAAGTTTTTATTGTTTAGCAATAAAAGAGACTCAATTTATAAGACCTTTGACTTATGGTATTTTGTTATAGCAGCCTGAATGGATTAAGACAAGTGTTATTCTTTCTTTCCTGAGGAAAAGAAATTGTACATCTGAAAACGTACCATATTTGGGCATCATGTTGTACATTACACGCAAATTTCATCCTATAAAACATTATGACCACACTGTACTTAGGTTGTATTTTGCCTTTCATTAGATAAACTTGTAAATGAGGATTAATAGTTAAAATCCACTTAAACGCTCATCCTCCCAGTCTACCATCATAGCTTCCCCTCTAACCACACTTAATTCCTCATCTCCTTTTGTTGTTGCAGTATGGGTCTGCCTTTGCATTTACTGCTTCTCCTGCCTAGAATTATCTTTTCTTTATAAAATTTCCAAATTATTCCTGTTACTAGGTTTCTTTGTGTGATATTCCTTTCCCATTTCTAGTTCCAGAGGTTTTTGCATTTTGCTACGGTGTAACACTTAAAGGATTCTACTTGAATATAACACTGTCTCTTCAGCCAGTAGTGACCTCCCAAGCCTAACAAGGTGCTCAAAACATGCTTCCTCCATGTTTTTGCAGTATTAAATATAAAGATCAGATCAAAGCAATGGCACAAAGGATTCACTATATTTACTTTCAGTTGGGAGCAGATGACTTTTGTTTGGATGGTGAATCTGTGGGTTCTTTTATACATTAAAAAGTAAGTAAACTTATAGAAATTCTGTATGACTACAGCACAATAATTACAAAGTATTCGCAAGAGAAGATTTGCCTAGAGTGTATCAAGTCTTCCATTGCTAAGAAAGATACTCTTCCTTTGCTTTCTAATCTTATCAGTTCCTCTCCAGAGGTTGCTCTTTGACCACAAGCTCACTGCATTAACTAACTTTGAAATAGATAACTAAAGGTCAACTCTCCTTTCCTTCCCCGGGCCTGATCTTTGATTTGGAACCGACGGGTCGCCAGACATTTGATAGGAGGGTTGGCCAAGTGTGCTGCCTTGGGTTTGGGAGCCAGGCGGGGCGGAGCGCCCCTGAAAGCGAACCCCAGTAGAGTCCAGACGTTCAAATGCGGGCGCCTGACGTCTGAGCCAATGGGCAGAGCAGGCGCGAGTCCACGCCTCCGTTGACGTCAGGGCGGCGCCGCGGCGCGCAGGCGGCGGGCCGCGGGGTGCCCGCCCCCAGAGGTCCGCTCGCCGCCTAGGCCGAGCTGTTCTTGCTTAATCCTTCGTCTTGTTTCGCCGTCGCTGTAGTCGTCCCTGCACCATGGCTTTCGTAACCAGGCAGTTCGTGCGCTCCCTGTCTTCTTCGTCCAGCGCTTCGGCCTCGGCGAAGAAAATTATCGTCAAGCACGTGACGGTCATCGGCGGCGGGCTGATGGGCGCCGGCATAGCCCAGGTGAGCGGCCCCACGGGCAGCGAACCACGCTCGCTCTGCCACCCACCCCGAGACGAAAGCGCCGGCAGGTGGTGGCCCTTCCGCCGGAGTCGCGGGGAGTTTTCACCCGCCCCTCCGGGTGTAGTTGAACTACGTTACGTCTGGGCCGGTGAAGGAACAGCCAATCTGTGTCTCCCCGAATTCAGTGTTCTTGGCCCGGTCCCCAGTTCCTTCCTATCTGAAATTCCAGCCTTCCGCAAGGCCCCATGAAGGTTCGGTGGAGAGTGTTGGTGAAGGCAGTTTGGAACGGGGCCGTGCGTCAAGTTACAGGGGCACCAGGTTCAGCATAACTTGTTTGATCGCTGCCTTACGCAAACAGAAATTTACTTTCAGAGACATGCACTGCTATCAGTTTTAAGTTTACTTACCAGCTTTTAATAATAATGCAGTCTTTGTCAGCAATTTTCTTCCCTACACGGACTCCCCGCTCTTCCCCGTGTTTCCTTCGTCTGCTAGGTTATAAAGAATAACAATAGTCACCACTTTTCTAACACTTTGTAAATTACACTCTCCTAATCCGAATTCGTGGAGGCCTGGAATTCCGCCTAAGGCTTCTGGAGGCAACTTTGACCTAGTGCCCTCAGTGCAGAGAAATCTGGGCTCTCTTCCCACGCTTAGGACAGTGGGAGCTGGAGATAAAACAGTGGAGAGGACTGAAGAAATAGAGAGAAGGTTTTTTTGTTTGTTTGTTTGTTTTGTTTTATTTTGTTTTTTGCAGGACTCTGCTCTGTTCCAGCTCCATGATTCAGGTTCAGAGGTGCAGTTGATTATATGGATACAATGCTTTTAGTTTTTAGGGTTTTTTGTTTGGTTTGTTTGTTTTTTGTTTTCCACAACCAGTTATGTTCCCACTCATGTCAGAGAATTCTGATTTGCACATCCTAGCTGCTTATCATTAATTTAAGTCCTTTGCCCTTAAATTGTTGGGGAATGGAGGAGCGGTTATTGTCACCTAATTTTTCCTTTGGAGTGTTCCTAAACTGCACTAACTATAGTCACGAAAGAGTTTAATTTTTATTTATTTATTTGTCTTTTTTCCAATTCATACTTCCATGTTACTTAACATTTTTTTACTATTATTATGTGTCTTTATTTCCCCTTCCTGCATTTTTTTTTTGCAATATGTTAATTTGATTGCATTTCCCCCTAAAATCTGTATTTCTGTAGTGTTTTATCTTTCTGATTTTTACTGTCTCCCATTTCTTATGAGATCATGGTTTTGGACATATGTTGTTCTTTTCATTGTACAGATACCCTGGCTGCTAGGTTTTGGTGTCCTCATAAACTCCATTATGTGTGGCATGACAGGAATAAGTCCCTTCAACCTAAAAGTTTTACACATATTACAGAAAAAGTTCAGTGAGGCAGATGCCTGTAATCCCAGTGACTAGGGAAAATGAGGTAGGAGGATCATACCTTTGAGGCCAACCTCAGCAACTCTCTGGGAACCTGTTTCAAAATAAACAAATGAATATATATATATATGGGTTGGGGATGTAACTCATTGGTAGAGTGCCCCAGGGTTTAATCCCCAGTTTAGGTGGGGGGCATGTTGTATTTCATGAAGAGACAGAAGCAGCACCTCAAATTATAGGCATGATGTTGGAACTTTCACCTAAAAAAAAGAGAAAGGAGAAGTGACTGACATTAAGGAGATACATAGATTTGATAATTTAATCCTTCATTAGCTGGACCAGGAAGTGCCTTTTGAAACTTAAAGGAAAAAAAGAATGCTATTTACCTACTAGGTTGGAAAAATAATAAAATTGTTATTCCAAACGGTAATGAAACCCAAAAGCCTAAATAGTGGACCATCATAATAGTAGTTCCATCCTTAATGTAACAGTTTAAGAGATCCTAGTTATTTTAGGTGACGACTCTAGTCCTATAAGGTGTCAGGAGAAGAAATCACTAGAAGAGAGTCTCCTGGAGTTCAGAGGGAGAAGGGGCAGGGGAGCTCAACTCAGGACAAATAGAGCCCTTGGCATACATGAAAGAAAAAAATTCCAGTAGGAGTCAGTAGAGGCACAGAGATCTATTTAAGAAAGCAAACAGTACACTGTTCAAGGGAGAATGCAGACCATCTTGAGAGTGAGAGACAGTGGTTTAGGGGTTTCTGGCTCTTGTTTTAAATGAAGGATGTAAGGTATGATAAGAAAAGGTATGTAAAGTTGCATCATTCTCATTATTGTAAGACAATTTATGGTGGTCTGATCATTCTCAGGATCCTTAGCTGACTTGGTCTCTGTTATTTGAGCAATAGGTAATACTAGGAGGTTCCCTAAATTATAGGTTCCTCAAAATATTTGTATTTCTCTTTGCTTAATCTATTAAAGTGTTAATCCATTATTTAACAGTGCTTAAAGTGATTATGAGGGAATGAATTTATGGTCAACTTTAAGATTTATAGATTTCCCCTAAAATTTTGGAGTGACAGCCCTGGTAAAGAGACTGGCTTGCTATGTGGAAACTCAAATTAAAATTATATTTTCTTGTCTTTCCTTTATGTCTTCTTTCTACCCATTTTAATTTCTTCTGCTTCAGAGGGAAAAGGTGCTTTCCTGTGAAACAAATCTATGCAATATTTTCAGTGGGTTAGATGATCTCGTTTTGCATTCTTCCCTGTAGCAAGCAGTCTAGGCAATAGTACCTCATTCTTTTTGCTTCTGGATCAACAGCTTTGGCAGAGTAAAAATCTGTTTTGCCTATTCAGTTCCACTGACATTACTTGATATGTTTTGTATACAGATGGATGTCAGTATAGGCAGTTGGATGGTCTGCAGGCCGGCTGTATCCCACACTGGTTGTGGTAACATTGGAAAGTTAATATACCTCTGTACCTCAGTTTCCTTGTCTCTAAAGTAGTACTGGCATGGAGGAGTATGGAAAGGATTAAATGAATTAGCACATGTCAAACAGTTAGGACAGTGTCTGGCAGATGATAAGAGCTCATTGTTAACTGCCTCTGTGATTTTTATGTTCAGTGCAGTTATCTATCCTGTTGCATGTTTTGCCTTGTGTCCCTTTCATTCCTGATCTTTGCTACTGAGGTAGACATCTAATATTAAGATGGAAAATATTGGTCATAATTCCGTTACATATTGTAAATCTCACCTGATACTGCAGTTTGTTTAGGGAATCTCTGAAATGAGATAAAGCACCTTTCATCTACCACCTTAGTAAAGTGAGAAAAGTGCAAACCCAAAAACTATTGTCTTGATTATAGTGCTAATCACATTTCGGTTCATTCTCCTGAATTCTTGCTGAAGTAGTTTTAATTTTAATCAAGTGGCAGGTCTGTTTACAATTTTAATTTTTTAATTTATCATTTTAATGTGTTCTAGTTTTTGCTGAGCAAGGTGAAAAAATTCTGAACAGATTTTGTAGGCACCTGATGTATTTCACAAGCAATTAAACAATTTTTAGACAAGTGAGGTCTGTGCTTAATTGCATTTGACCAGAACATATGCCATTAGTACAGATGTAGTTTTAGAGTATCTACTTGGCCTGTCATTGTTTTTTTGTTTGCTTTAAATTAAAAGAAAAAAAAAATCCCTGAGACTGCAGGTTAATGTTTAAATAAGTTAACTTGTTTTATGTGTGTTGCTTGTTATAGACTTCTGACTTGGTCTTGATTGCCAATTTATCTTTAGCTGGATATTTAGGCCAACAAAGAAATTTATGCATTAAATAAACCTTGAGTGAGGACAGGTTGTCTTTTGCTGGTTTCCCTCTTTCCTTTTTTTTTTTTGGTGGGGCTGGGGGAGTTATCAGGGATTGAAGCAGGGTTCCCCAGCTTTTTATTTTGAGGCAGGGTCTTGATAAATTGCTTAGGGCCTCATTAAATTGCTAAGGCAGGCCCTGAACCTGTGATCTTCCTGCCTCAGCCTTTGAGTGACTGCATTACAGGCATGCTGGGATTATAGGCGTGCATCATCATGCCCAGCTTTGTTTTTTGCTTTATAAGGGGGGAAGGAGCCCAGAAGAAAGAAAGGAAAGAAGCTACTAGTTGTGTATTTCTCCAGTTCATGGAATGAATCCTTTCTAAATTTTACTTAGTCCATTGCCTTTTTTCATACAAGGAGTCCAGATAGCTCATACGTTTCTGTTAAATTATTGGTGAGAAGCCAGTGGGCTCCCTGGGACATTTCAGAGACTTTCTGTAAACCGCGTGTGTGTGTGTGTGTGTGTGTGTGTGTGTGAGAGAGAGAGAGAGAGAGAGAGAGAGAGAATATGAGTGTTATGAGTGTTTTATGCTAGAGATTGAACCCAGGCCAGGGCCTAGTCTATCCTAGGCAAGAACTCTACAACTGAGCTACTGAGCTATATCTCCAGCCCATTCTTTTTAGGATATTACACTTCTTTGGGGAAGTGAGAAAGTTTGCACCTTAAAGGAGATTAGGGGTGAGTTGTCTCACCCAAAAAGTGTGTGTATGTGTATGTGTGTGTGTGTTTATTTTCCCCTTTAAGAAGCCAAAGTTGCACATTTCTTTTGGGGGAGAACTCCTTAAGCTATTGAAACAAAGTGGGGGCAGGGGGAGCATTCTAAGCTACAGGTGAATATTCCCTTAACCTTTGTGTTCCTTTGTGATGCTCCAAAAGGACTCAGACTCAAAAACTTCTCCCCAGCCACTGAATTTATTCACCCTGTTCCCCCTGCTCCCAGCTCCGAACTTTCTGATTCTGAATGGAGGAGTAATCATAGTTATTTTGTACTTTTTAGCTTTATTCATTTCTATTGGGACAGTGAGTATAGGGCTCTGTTGAAGTTTGCTTGAAAAACAGTGCAGAGACCTAGAAGTTTCAGGATCCATAGATATTGGTAGTTACCTGACTGTAGGATCTCATTTGGACTGTTCATTATGAAAGGAATATTTTTATTCTCAGGTGTTAACTTCCTGCTCAAGAGTATGGCATATATCTGTTTGTCATACTTCCCTCATTTCTTGAGTTGTTACTTA